GAATGAGAATTTTCAGGGATGCCTTGGTGGCTCAGTCAGTTAAGTGGCTGACCCTTGGTTTCCACTCAGTTCATGATTTCAGGGTGGTGAGATCAAAACCCACATCGGGCTCCACACTCAGTGGGGCGTCTGCTTCAGGATTCTCTCTCTCTGCCCCAGCCCTTTAATAAAATAAATAAATATTTAAAAAAAATTCAGTTTCATTTGAGTACTAGTTTGTAAAATTTATTTTTATGTACTTATTTTTATTTAAGGAAATATTAGAAACATACTTGTTAATAAAATATTAGCCTAACATTTTAAAATGGTCTAGCCTCAGTTCACAGGAATGATTCAGGAAAGTTCAGACTCTTTGGTTTACACATATCTGCTTTTAATGAAAACTTTTAATAGAAATCAAAGAAACACAGACCAGAAAAAAAAGAAAAAAAAAAAAACTTCAATTAAACACATTTGTAACACACAGTTGGAAACACATCCTCATAAGCATGGGCATTTATGAATCATAGACAGATACAAATGTGATTATTTAATTAAATTCATAATCACTGCAATTTACTATTGTAATATATGAGGTTTTTCATTTTGACTGAATGAAAGCACATTTTGAGGAAAATACATTTTACAGACAAGAAAATTTGCACTAGTCTAAATTTATACATTTAAAAGTATTTAATACTAACTTGGAATATGAATATTTAGATTAGACATCTGTTGAATTCCCTAGTAAACTATACTACATATTCTAATGGTCGTGATTTAGAGTTTTAGGAGGGAAATATTTAAGTCATAACGACTGTGGGATAAAAATAAATTGAACACTTAAGTCACAATTTTAAAGAGAACAAATTGAAAAAATATTAATATTTAATTTGTTTTCTTCATTCTATATTGATAATGGGGAATCTACGGGAGTGGTATATTTCATTGCTCTGTGTTCGCTAGAGCCCATCATAGTGGCATGCACATATCAGACTTGTCATATGAGCTCACTGGATAAAATGGATTGTTCCCCAAGTTATGGAAAATCCTCTAAAAATCATAGCATCAAACTTGCAATTGCACGGAAATACCATATACCAAGATTTTCACTGCATCACTATCTGCACAGACAGCACTCTGCTAATGTGAGCTGCTTTTACATTGGTATTGGGTAAAACATGGATGATTTTTATAGTGTAGTTTCTGCTAGAAATCACATGTATAGGATTGCCAGCACATTGTGTTTTGTTTTTGTTTTGTTTTTGATCTTCAGAAAGGATTCAAATGTGCAGTCTGCTCTCTCCCAGGATCAGTATTTTAAAATTTACATGATTTCCTTAATTGTTTCTCAGAAACACAATTTGGCAAGTTAACTAACTCATTGCAGACTAAGTAATGAAGGCATAGAAATAATAAATAACTTTCCAAATTTCATGTTCCTAAATAGAGGGCTGGAAAGGGGATTCATATTTAAATTTGTCAGATTCCAATGTGTTTTATTTACTCTGCCATCAAAACGACTTAAAATTGAACAAACAAACAAAAACAGAAACAGAAATACATCTCATAAATACAGAGAAAAAACTGACGATTGCCAGAGAGGAAGAAGGTGTGCAGGAGCGTGGGTAGGCAATACAGCTGAATGGATTAAGTACAAATCTCCAATTCTAACATAAATAATTGCAGCCTGGGGAATGTAATCAGTAATATTATAATAACTTTGTATGAGGACACATGGTAACTACACTTACCATGGTGAGCATTTTGTAATGTATGTAATTGCCAAATCACTTATGTTCTTGTACACCCGAAATTAATCTAATATTGTATGCCAATTATACATCTATTTAAAAAAAAAACAATTGCTAGAAATAAAGCATGAAGATAAAAGTAACAATAGCAATAATAGAAATGTTGCATTAAGAACTTCAGGAACAGAAGGAAATGCTTCGAACACACGTGAATATGTTCACATTTTATAGGTAAAGTTATTGTCATTTGAAGGGTAACATACTAACCCAGTGGCTGTGGGAAAGAAAGAAGAGAAACCCAAAAGAACTTGCCAGTTTGCTAATTTAGAATTAGCTAATTTTATTACTGAGCAGAAAATACCAGAATGCAGGCAGGTAGACTGCAAGAGGATACAAAGCCATAGTGGGTTTTCAACCTCTAATTATCTGGAATTAAAGGCACAGTTTTTACACATCATGCTACTTTTAGTAAATAGACTGCAGGTATTCAATTTGCATTGGTAATGACAGTAAGCTTACTCCAACATTCTGTTTTTCCTAACTCTTCATCAGTACCTCCTGCGGTTGCCCCTGGCAGGGCATGGCACACAGATCGTTAGTCGTAACCACACCAAGGTTAAATTCAGTTCAGCTTCCCCACAGAACACATAAGGGTAGTAAGTCTACAGATAAACAGGTTTTGTCTGATGCTAAACGCTGTGCTTTTAATCAGTAAGTTATGGAATAGTAATTATACATTGGAGCAATAAAATAATATTCGATCAACATAGAGTCTATTTCCATCTAGAAGAATTGAGAAGAATTGAGTTTCCTGTACCCCAGTATGGAATGAGTGGAAGGCCAGTCCCAGTCCAGAGTTCAGCATGAGCAAGACAGAGTGGGGACAGGGAGAAGATGAATGTTGAACACGATCAGATGCTAGTTGTTCTTTTATTCTAGCCTTTCGTCAAGATGTAATCTTTCCAGAATCTTCTACAAAACAGGTTTCTTTCTTTCTTTTTCTTTTTTTCCTAACTTCACTAAGGTTGCTTATAATTCTGCCTGCTCAGAAAATAACAGAGAACTATTTACTCAGGGACAATTAAGGCTGCTGATACTAACGATTAGAGCCAATAAAATTATTCTTGCCTCAGGTTTCTAGAACAGATTACTTTTGTCTGCTCTGAAGAGGTGAGCAAGTACCTAGTGGGAAATACAGGAATACATGAAAAAAATCATATATGACATTTAGAGTAGAAGAGATATATTTATATACCGGCAAGAGTAAGGCCGTGAATATCCTATAATAAACCTTGGTGAATTGTAGAGCAAGTACGCTTTATTGTTCTTTTCCATACAAGTCTAAATAATTTTAGTACTTACAAACTTTAGAATCAGCTTTTAATTCTATGGACATTGGGATTTGCAACAGATTACACTGAATACACACGTCAATTCAGAAGGGTTGGTTTTATTTGTGATTTTGCGTCTTCCTAACCACACACATGACATAGCTCTTAATTTCTTTAACGAAGTCTAAATAAGCTAAACTAATATGACACTTCAATAAAGTGGTCTGCATATAGGTCTTTCACATCCTTTGTTAGATTTATTTATAGCTTCCTTATAGCTTTGTTAATTAACCCTAGTTAGTTTTTCAACATTAAGAATAATGTACACTGTAGTTTTGTTGTTTGTTTAGTGTGCCCTTAATCAGTAGGAGAAGGCACACTTCTACTTATTGGCTGAGAGTTTTTGTTTTTGTTTTTTTTGCTTGGTTTCATTGTGTTTATCATCTATGGATATTACATTCTATTTCTTGGTTTTTCTGTATGTGTTGAGATGATTATTTTTGTTTGTCCATCCTTTAATTCATTAACCCTGTGAATAATTTTTACGCTTTTTAAAATGTCCTTCCTCATTTCTTTCTTTGTATCTTCCTTCCTTCCTTCTTCCTTTAATGCTAAACAAAGCAAGTGTGGAACCAAATTGATAAAGATAGATTTTTTTTCTTTTTTACACGCCAGTGGAATGGGTTTGCTCTCATTTTGTTTAGGCTACTTACATGTAAAATCCCTCATGAGCGAGAATGTCTGGTATTGATAGCGACAGGTCACAAGCCACAGAAAACAAGCTTTCGAGTATCTCCTCTTTCCTCCGTTTTCTGGGAAAAAGATGTATAGGACTGAAATTACCTGTTTCTTTAACTTTAGGTAAAATAATCTGGACCTGGTTTTTTTTTTTGCTTTAGAAAAATTATGTTTTAAATGAAATTTGATTTTCTTTAGTTACTGTAGTACTCCTCAGATTTTCTATTCCTTTTAGAGCCACCTATGGCATTTTTTATTCCATCCATATTCTTACTAGTTTTAGTATCTTCTGTATATGTCTATGTATAGCCATACCCCCTTTTTTTCAAATACAACTTCTCATGTTCTGCTTTGATAAATTGATGCATTTATTTAGACTTTATGTCTTTTGTTTTAGTAATACTTTTTAAAATTAATCTATTTTAATTTTGGATTTTTTAAAAATAATGACAGAAATATCAGAAATAAAAATATACATATTTAATTTTCCCATTATTAATTCTGCATTTATAGCTTTAACATGTAAAATAAACTAAACATTTGCCTTTTCCTCACATCTCAAAATTAATAAACTTACTGAAAAATGGAAAGACTGTGTTTAAGAGTTATTTAAGATGTTAGCTATAATAATATTTTGATACCTGCCAGAGTTATACATTAATTCTATGTTATGTTCTGATTTCAATGATTATTTCTCCCCCACGTATGACTTAACATCACACACTGCATGCATTTTTTTCTATAAGAAGAAAATTATTCTTTGTGCAAAAATGGTAATTTTTTATTTTCTCCAAGTTTATTTAAATTTGAAAACTCAAACTTTTTAAAGATTATGTAATTTTTTTAACAACTGCTATGCTTTTCTTAATGATGAAACCAATTGTTCATCCCTTAGACTCTGACAGCATACAATGAATTCTGACAACTTTCTCCCACCCCAGTTCCTGAATAACATGTAATTTCCTTGATATGACAAAATATCATTTTAGCATTCATGTCATGCCTTGGTGTTCATTTTTCATTTTTCTGTAAGTTAATGAGTTCTAGCAAAGAGTGCCATCATAAAGTTGTCTTTTGCCAAAAGTCCTGTTGCAGCATATGGAGCTAGTGACAAGCTACAGTATTAAGGAGATTTGTTTTAAACCAAGCCTCTAAAGTGCGCATGGAAATACTAAATATATCCCTGCATGTTTTGCAGACAATCCTGGTTTGCTGAGCCATGTCACAGTGGGTATTAGAGTTCTGGATGTCAATGACAATCCACCCGAACTTGCCAGGGAATATGATATTGTTGTCTGTGAAAATTCAAAACCTGGCCAGGTAAGTTAATTGTCTCCTTCCTATCATTGGAATGGAAGAAAAATAAGCAGCTCTATTTCTATTATTTTAGGTATAATCCTCAAAATCCCTCAATATTATTTTTGTGCTCAGTGAAAATAATTTTATAAAGCTTTAAGTACCAAATAGATTTTTTTGAGAATTGTTGAAAATAAATTTTCTCCAGAACCCAAATGTAAATCAAAAAATGAACTCATTCATACATACATTCATGATACCAATAAAATTATATTGAATGCTTTGTGTGAAGCCTTGTATTAAATGAGGAGGAAACTGTGAACTTTCTTGTCCTGTGACATTGTACTATAGTTTTGCAAGATGTTACCAGTGGGGGAAACTGGGTACATAACATCTCTCTATATTTCTTACAACTGTATATGAATCTATAATTATAAAAAAATAGAAAATTTAATTAAAAGTAAAAACATTTTTAAAAGATATAATATCTTAAAAAGAATAATAACAAAAGCTAATTTTTCATCAAGAAAGATAAAACCTAGGGGCACCTGGGTGGCCAAGTCAGTTGAGCATCCACTCTTGGTTTCAGCTTGGGTTGTGATCTCAAGATGGTGGGATCAAACCCCCCTAGACAGGCTCTGTGCTAAGCATGGAGTCTGCTTGGAACTCTTTCCCTCTTCTCTCCCTCCCCATTTTGCTCCTCCCCCCACCCCTACTTGCCCATGCACACCCATGCTCATGCTCTCTCTCTCAAATTAAAAATAAAGTCTTAAAAAAAGAAAGATAAGACCCAGAAAACAATGGAAAGATAATTCCCAACAGTTGCACGATAATAACTGACAACGATGAATTCTTTTTTCTACCAAAATATCCCTCAAAAACAGACCAGAAAATCTCAGAGTTAAGCCAACAAAAATGTGAAAATCTCTTACCATAAGGGACACTCTAAAGCTTTTATTGGGTAAAAAAGAAAAATAATTATACTGGCAGCCTGGAGTCATAAGGAACCTTCAAAACAAACACAATCAATAAGTGTATTCATAAAAACTAAATCATTAATGAATAAATAGAAATCAAAGGAACATTCTCCAGAGTTTAAAATAGACATCATATACATGGCAACAAGAGATCATAAGTTAGAAAGACAAATGAAGTTAAAATATTCTAAACTCCTTAAATTTTGGTTCCTTAAAATTTGAAAAGTTTGGCCTCTTAAAATTTGAGAAATTGATAAACTACTAATTTATAATAGATTTTATATGTCCAGAATGCATGCTGTAACCTCTAGATCAACTAATAAAAATAGTAAAAAAACATGTAACTAATAAGCTAGTAGAAATTGTAATTAAAAAGACTTAAAAAGACTGGGTGGCTCAGTGGGTTAAGCGTCTGCCTTCAGCTCAGGTCAAGATCCCAGGGCCCTGGAATCTAGCCCAGTCTGGCTTCCCACTTAGTGGGGAGCCTGCTTCTCCTTTTCCCTCTGTTCCTCCCCACAGTTGTGTTCTCTCTCTCTCAAATAAATAAAATAAAAAAATCTTTAAAAAATAAATAAATAAAAATACTTAATCCTGGAACACCTGGGTGGCTCTGTCAGTTAAGCGGCTGCCTTAGGCTCAGGTCATGATCCCAAGATCCTGGGATGGAGCCCCGCATCGGGCTCCTTGCTCAGCGGGGAGCCTGTTTCTCCCTCTGCCTGCCCCTCCGCCTGCTTGTGTTCTGTCTCTCTCTCTGACAAATAAATAAGTAAAATCTTTAAAAAAAAATACTTAATCCTAAAGAAAGCAATGTTTACATTTCTATTTCTTGACCTTAACTGTCTTCATGAAAATGTTTGTTCACTTTAAAATAATTTATATACTTAGAAACTTGTTGCACGTGGTTTTATCCCACTGGAGTGTGTTTTACAGTAAAAAAGCTTTTCCTAGGGGCGCCTGGGTGGCTCAGTTGGTTAAGCGACTGCCTTCGGCTCAGGTCATGATCCTAGAGTCCCGGGATCGAGTCCCACATCGGGCTTCCTGCTCGGCAGGGAGTCTGCTTCTCCCTCTGACCCTCTTTCCCTCTCGTGCTTTCTATCTCTCATTCTCTCTCTCTCTCTCTCAAATAAATAAGTAAAATCTTTAAAAAAAAAAAAAAAAGCTTTTCCTATAGGAGCAATTTTCAAGGATTCTAGAAGGACCCTTTGAAAACTAAAATATAATCCTAATAAAATATGGAATTTATAATCAATAGTAATTCCAAAATAATCCAGAAACTTCTGTGAAGTTTGTAAAGCTCAAAATTAGGATGAAAAATTCTCGTATTTGCTGCTGATATATAGATTGTCACAAAATAGGCAAAATAAAAGATAAAAGTTTTAGTACACAAAATTCTAATAGCTGGGTAAAGGTCATTTGATTTAAAAAATGAAGAAATGAGACAGGAAATATAGAAAAAATGGAAAAATAGAAAGTAAATAAAAATGATGTAAATTTAAAGTATATGTTAGTATCCTTGTTGAAATAAAATCACTTAAATACTCAAAAGATGCATATTGTCAAAATAGAAAGAAAAAAGGTCATTTAAATGTTTTTTACGAGGTGTAAAATAGGGGGACCTGGGTGGTTCAGTCAGTTAAGTGTCTGCCTTCAGGTCAAGTCATGATCTGAGGGTTCTGGGATGGAGCCCCGAGTGGGGCTCCCTGCTCAGTAAGGAGTCTGCTCCTTCCTCTCCATTTGCCCCTCCCTGCCGCTCGTGCGTGCGTGCACTCTCTCTCAAATAAATAAATAAAATCTTTAAAAAATAGAGGTATAAAATAAACAGAATAAAGGAAAAGAGTTTGAAAGAAAATATATGTAACAATATACCAAATAATTACTTTATTAATTGCTATATACATACTTACCCAACTATACACACACACACACACACACACGCGCACACACACACACATTTCAACAAAGGAATGTTACTAGGTATAAAAAAGCACATTCATTGTGATAAAAACAGTTTATACACCAGGTACAAATGACAATTTTAAATTTATATATGCTTATCAATGTTGCCTTAAAATGAACAAACCAAAAATGATAGAAATAACAAAAAATAGACTAGCCCATTGTTGTATTGGGAGTTTTAGTATGCTTTTACCAGAAACTGATAGAATAATTGTATAAAATTTTGGGAAGGATATTGAAAATTGAACACCACAATTAACAAACTTTACTGTTTGATAAATATAGAATAATGCACTGAACAACTTCAGATCACCATATTCTTCTGAAACCTACAGAGAACATTGACCAAAAATTTACTGTATACAGGACCACAGAGTAAGTTTTAATAATTTGCAAAGGATTGGCCTTATTATTTTCTGTATGACAAAAAAATAAATAAAGCTAGATACTAATTCAAAGGTATTGCTAGGAAGAAAAAAAGTATTGCTAGAAAAAAATCCATTGGAAATAAGGGCACCTCTAAATAAGCTAAGAATCACTTAAGTAAAAAAATTAAAAATATTTAAATGGAATGATAGTAAAAATGCACTGTATTAAAAAGTACAAAAAGGGGAAATCTATTTTCTACTCTTTCTTTGATGAAACATAACTCTAATATAAAAAAATGACAAGAATATAATCCCTCACAAAATCTTTGTCTCTTTGGTCCGTAGGTTATTGAGAGAATTTAAAATTGAATCATTTGAAATGTGATATAAAAATTTTAAAATCCAAACATAAGCTAATGATTGCATCAGCCATTTTTAGATGTTTTCTTTTTAAGTAATATATTTCTTTTTTTCTTTTTTTTTTTAACTTCAAGGTAATTTCAAAATTTATAGGATAGAATGAGATGCTGTATTGGGAGCAATTCATATTTGCTAGTCCCAGCCACCTTTGCAGGTGAAAGCATTGAAAATGTGGTCAAATAATACTTAGTCCTTGCTCTTGGATCAGTTGATTTTTCTCCTGTGATTGTGAACATGTGCTCCCAAATCTAAAACGCTAGTGTTAGTTTTCTAGATTGAATTCTCTCCATATTGGCCAGTGACCTTGACTTTTTCCATTGACCTCTTGATCATGGGAAAGCTTATTCAGGCTCTCTTTCCAGGTCATGCTTTCCTGTCAGTGCCAACTTGCTAGCCTGGGTCGTTCTATTTTACCCTCCACACTGACCACCTAAGGTCCATAGCATTTCTAAGAAATGATTTATATGACATTGACAAATGCTTTCTTCATCTCTAAAATAAAGAAAATTGTCGGAATTTCAGGGCCCTTCCAAGCCTGAAATTTTATGAGTATATGAGTAGATGAGTCTCAAATTCCTTTAAATGTGGATTACTTTATTCTCCTCACATGGGAAGCCATTCCATTTTTTAGAGAAGGCTAAATTTGTGACAAAAACATATCTTTATCTTCTGGGTCCCATTAACCATTTATATAGTATTTTTCTTTTCTTCAGAGAACCGTTACTGTTTTCAGAAAGCAATCACTAGACTTAGCACCCCTGAGATCTAATGTATATCGATTTATTTATGTGATTATGGTTATTATCCTTTGAAAACTATATTCATAGTTAGCATCATTGTTGTCTTTAATATTGTATGATTTTAGATGTCACATTAAGATACTGGGTTTCTTTATATTGCTTAAGTATCTGTTTCTCTAATCATTTGTTTCATCAAAATGAATTAAAACTTTTTACTGAGGGAATGAAAAGCCATTTGAAGATATTGTTTATTGCACTCTTATTTAAACAAACCATTGCCAATCTGTGTGGCCATTTTTTATGATTAACCTATTACAAGGGAAATGATCTGAATCTTTCTATTGTTTAATTTTGTCGCCTTTGGTTCATTTAACCTTATGTTTGTAGCATTTCTGGATAAACTTTGTGTATTTTGATGCAGAGTAGGAATAGGGAACTCTATTTAAATAATGATTTGTGAAATAGGTTTTCTGAAGCATATCGCCCAGCTGTACAATGTCTCCTCTTTCTATAACAATTGCTTTTAGAATTATAGACATTTTTATTATGGATGCTGTGCATCTGAATATAACAGCACGTGACCATGGCAGAGAGACGTGTCTTTTGTGAAGCAGAGGTTTAAACCACATATAACAGCAAAGTTCACATTGAATCAGGTATCAATACACCTGAACTGCAACAATATATTTCTCTGAGTTAATAAATTTTCCTGTTCTGAAAAAAAAATTTTTGAAGTACCTTGCATGAAACAAATATTAAGAAGAAAATCATGCATGCATGAAATTTGAAGTCAGTTCCCAAAGTAAAGTGAATTCATAATAAATGAGATGGGTCTACATGTAGAAACTGAAATATGAATGATGGAAATGTTTTTATCTTATTTATATTGACTTTCCCCTCTGTGTGTGTGTGTGTGTGTGTGTGTGTCATTACAAAGTAAACTTAGGAAGCATAACATATATTAAAAAAAATTGTATCACCTAACACCAGCATACCTGGTGTTCATCACGTCCAATTATTAATAATAACCTTTGTATGAAAAAAATACCCAGATCAGTAGAGATTTTACATCAAGATTTTACAAAGGTCAACTCATTGAACCAACAGAAGTTAGTGTTATTATTAAATAAATTTATGATCCCACTTGAGATTATATTATAAAGCAAATTCATTGATTAATTTAAAGAAGATACAGTGTGTTCCATAAAATATTCTTTTTTTTTATTTTATTCATTCACTGGAGAGAGAGAAAGAGAGCACAAGGGGGGGGCAGAGGGAGAAGCAGACTCCCCGCTGAGCAGGGAGCCCGATACGGGACTCGATCCCAAGACCCTGCAATCATGACCTGAGCTGCAGGCAGACTTTTAACCAACTGAGCCACCCAGGCACCCCTAGAATATTCTTTTAATTTAAATGTTTAGTTAGGACTAGCCTATTTACCTAACAGAAGACTACATTATTTGTATATATCTGTGACACTGACTAGTTTGATGTTTTCCCCCTTTAATAAAGTACTCAAGAAGTAATAGACCATAGAAAATACATTTAAACAGGGTGATACATTTATTTGGTAAAAGAAATACAAAATTGATTCTAATTAGTTTCTGCTAAAAGTGAATCGTTATTCATGGGCATTACCAAAAACTACAGCTGTTAATTATTTATAAATACCAACTATCAATTTGGATTCCCTCCCCCCTTTGGTAGAATAAATCTGTGACTGTGTTTCTCTCAGGTCTTTCAAAATAACCAAACACTTTATGCACAGATTACATAATATGCACATGATAGAAAACATCTAAGCTCAGTTAGAAAGATTGAGAGACAGAAAATAAATTGTTATGGATTGTACGTCATCAACAATTTACACAAATGGAGGGCACAGGTAGCACAGTGTATATAAATCATAACTGACAAAAGCATAGAAAATATTGATGATGTATACATGGCACTTATCTAAATATTTGCCAGAAGCTTACATCTTTTCAAAATCACAGACATGTTCACTTCTGAAGTGATTTTCCTAATAAAAGTCTAAGGAAACAATAAATGGAAATCTATCTCCCACTGAAAGAGAAAAGGTGATTAGTAAACAGAAAAATTGAATATACCATTCCCTAATAAGAGGCTATCTCTGAGTTCTAGATAAAAGCAGAGCAACATTCTAGGTTTTTGGAAGCATTTTTCAGAAGCATTATGGAAAAATAAGTACGGATGTATGAGGAACGTTCTTCAGGAATTCAAAACGAATGGTTCACTCTTAAACAAAATGTGGCAATCAGCTCATCTTTTGCTATGGACACGAGATCAAGAAGTTTTTAAGAAAGATAAATTTGCCATGACTGAGCTTCCTAGTAAATTCAGATTTGAAATTACTTGTATAAAAATGGAAAGTATATTTTACTAATGATAACAGTAAAACAGTAAAGATATAATATGAATTATATCAGTGTTTAACAAATAGAATAAGCTCGTTTGTAAAAATTTAAAATGGGAAGGAAATAATTGTCCCAAATTAGTCATAAGAGGAAATATAAAATAATTTAGTTGGTTTAAATTAATTGTTCTCTGCCAATCTCTTCCAATATCACATTCTAGGATAAGAAGTGAATTTGCAAATATATCAGTAGGTTATGAGGTATCATTGGAGAATGAAAATGAGCAAGGATTAGGGGAGATAAGACATTTATTTTCAAAAAGAAAAACGTGTATTTATTTTATTTGACCCTGAAAACAATCTTGAAAATTTGATATTTTTATTTCAGTTTTATATTAAGTACCTGAGAACGTGGGTATTTTCCTCAGATTACACACACTCTGAACTCTATGGAGATTTTCACACTTGAGAAAAATTGTCAGATTGCTTCCAATTATCCATCAATTTATTCTCCTATCAAGTCAAAAGTCAATAACAAGGGGGAAAAAAAGGATCCATCCAGAGACCAGCTATAATTTAAACAACAACAACAAAAAAGCAAACAAGGAGATATGTAGATTTTTCAGCTCACAAATTAAGTGTGAAGGGAAGTAAAGAAGAGAAGAATGATAGAGACTTCTTGGGGTATGAGGGGGTTGGGGGGAAGCTTTTACCTAAACTTCTTGCTGAGAAAGTACATTCTGAGCAATAGAGAGCCATATGCAGATATAGATGAAATAGAACACTTCCATAGCCCGAAGCACTTTCTTCACTTCCCCTTTATGAGGACACATGCTTTTCTGTTCCTACTGTCACTGATGACTCCTTCTTAGTACTTTTACAGTCATCTTCATCTCCCTGACCAACTAATGGACTCAGTGCATGGATAGGAATTTAGCTTTTATTTTATTTATTTATTTTTTTTGGAATTTAGCTTTTAACTGTTGTACATATTGGTATATTATTTCACTTGGAAAAGATTGAAATGGGATGAAATTGAGTAAGATGTTTTTAGAAATCATAGCAATTTTTGAAATGAACACACTATATTTCACATGCAGGAAACACTGTCTTTTTTAAGATTTTATTTATTTATTTGAGAAAGAGAAGGCATGAGCAGAGGGGCAGGGTGCAGGGGAGGGGCAGAGAGAGAGGGAGAAGCAGGCTCCCTGCTGACCAGGGAGCCCAATGCACAGGACTTGATCCCAGGACTCTGGGATCATGACCTGAGCCCAAGGCATACACCTAACCACCTGAACACCAAGGTGCCCCAGGAAACATTCTTTTTATGGCTCCTTTTTCCTCTCTTTCTTTTAATTTCTCTAAGGAAGGGCTAGAAAAAGGACACCTAAGCATTAGAATACTAATTTTTAAAAGAGGAAATTATTATCTCGCATATTAGTTTGGATATTTCCTAAGACTGTAATGGCTACTGCTGTTGGAATTTGTGTTCTGTTCATAAGCCACCTGGAATATCTCACTTATATATTCTAACTTTCTCTGCTCCATAATGTGCATAGTCCGAATTTTAGAATTGCTTTGTCTCAACCACTGTATATGAGAAGTATTCCATAAAACTGTGAGTGGTCTGGTTTTGTTTCTGCCACTATATTAACAGCTTGGGGGCACATCACAATTCTTTGGGGTCTCACATTCCTTATCTTGGCTATGTTAAAATAGAGGGGCTAGGTCAAGCTCTCAAAGGTCCCCTAAACTGTAAAAATAATGTGACTCCACTGTTTTTGCATTTACTTACTGATAACAACATATACTGCAAAGCTGTTCTACACGAACACTAGGATATTTATATTTGTACAAACAATACTTCCTGTTTCCTCAAACAGGTGTTCTTATAAAATCTTGCAGCTAATTGGCCCCAAGGTACTGTGGGTGATAAAGAAAAAAAATTAAATGTTTGTGCTATGCTAAAAAGTAAAGTGTGGATGATTATAAATTGTTCTATAACCTGTTTTCTAAAATCTCATGCAAGATCAAACCAGTTAGCTGGGACATTTATTACTTGGATTTGAAAAGACTCAAGGTGGATAAAGGGGTCTTTAAAAATCCTTTTGTGATGGTAATTAAAAATGTTATAATATAATTATAATCAAAGGAATAAGCCAAATTAAGTTTCCAATTTAGTCTTTGCTTTTTCTCTTCAGGTGATTCATACCATCAGTGCCACTGATAAAGATGATTTTGCAAATGGACCAAGGTTTAACTTCTTTCTTGATGAACACCTATCTATAAACCCAAACTTCACTCTGAAGGACAATGAAGGTGAACATGATTTACATATACTTTTTAATCTATGTGATATCTGTTTTGACTTCATGTGGAATAGGCCTGAGCAGTGTTGCTTTATTCGTACATACGCATGAACAGCTTGCAAATCAGCATTCAAAGTCAGTTTGATGTTAATGTATTATGATCTGTGAATAGCTTGTATTTAAAATTGAGCCATATGTACAAATAATTTTCATTGAGTTGAATCAGAAGCATCCCTTTAAACAAGAAATGTACATGTAATATGCTCTTGGGCAAATTTTAAGAGAAATCTTAGCTGACAAACATGTTTATGAGAGCTGCTTACAATTGCTAGGAGGTAGAAAAATTTTAAATTAGGAAAAATGAAAAATATGTCCTAGGGACAGTTAAGAAAGGAAATGCAATGTTTGAACTCATCTTGCAATAGCAAGGCTATCAAGATGTGGTGTACAAATTATATTTCCTCTTGTTATTATGAATATTTTTCAAAATATGGGTAGAAAATATGCATAATTGCAGAATATTGTGGAAATTTTGAATTACTTTTGTTTAAACTTCTGTATTGTGTGGGGGAAAAAAGAACACCATAATTTAGTAACTAGAGAAGTCTCATGTTTTAGATTCCCTATTTGGTAGATTTCTCAACGTTGTATAAAACTCCACTTTGCTGTAAAGGAAACATTGAATCAGTCAATGTGTGCAGTGTTCTGATTTGTATCAACTTTCTTCTTCCCCAAAACTATCTTTGATCACGTTTATCTGAATATGCTATTACTTGAAATTTAACATTTGCCTCAGAATCCTATGAGAGAAACAATAGTGCATTCATTTAGGAGTAACGTTTAATTCTTTAATTCCCTCTCTGTACCCTTCAGGGAGATGTATTTTCAAACATAATATATATATATATATATATAAAATCACTAAATGTCAACTCACTAAAACATTATGTCCATTTTTCCTAAGCTTCTTTAAATTATCATAACAAGGATACCAAATTGTACATGTGGCCATAACAAAGTTTATATGAAAATAAAAGCTGCTTGTTTGTCTCTCATTTTAACTACCCTATGGTCAGCTCTACCTATGGAAATACATATTTGTGCATGTTTGTGTATGATGAATTGTATTAACTGATTACTATACATTTATGTACATTTGAACATTCCATTCTACAATCCCAAATATATTTAATGTAATTAACTGTGTGAAATATGTAAAAAAAAAAAAACCTCTATTCATCTTTCCCGTATTTCAGATAGTTACATAATTTGGGGAGCACTCAACTTTTTGCCTTAGTAGATTAAAATAATCTCTAGATCCCTATGTTTATATTTCAGTTGTTTCTTTTTCCATTCTGATAAGGATTTTATTTTACATTTTTAAGTAATTTTAATTTGATATTATCATGAAAATTTGACTTGGATTTAAAGGTGTGTTATATTCAAGTTATTTAACCTATATAAGTAAAATAGAAACAAGAAAATTTTACTATTGTTGAGACCCACTCAGTTACTGAAAGTTCTTTATATAAAATGTTTATATCTGGAATTTGTGAATTTAATGAATGGATATACTCAAAACGGCTTAATTCAATGATCTGACATCAGTAGTGGTGGGAGCTCATTTTAAGGAATTCCCCTCAAACATATGCACACTTTTAAAAGGGTTTATGATGCTGATGTAAATTTTTTAACCTTTTTTTTAACCATAACTATGAATGCTTAAACCAGCTATACTATGTTGAGTATGTGAGGCCTATGGATAGTTGAGTAGGGATAAAGATGTTTTAATCTATTTGTAAGACTATTTTTAAAAATATTGGGAATTGATAAAATTATAAATAACACAGGAAAATTCTTTTGAATAGGTAACAGCAATTTCTAGAAAAGATTCAAATGTATAGCTGAAAGCACGTGCTTATACAAGCAGACTTGATTATGCTAGATAAGCCAAGCCACCTAACTTTCCAAGCTCAGTTTTTATATCCATAAATTATGGTTTAAAATGCCCACTTTAGGAGTGCCTGGGTGGACTCAGTCGGTTAAGTGTACGACTCTTGGTTTTGGCTCAGGTCATGATCTCAGGGTTGTGAGATTGAGCCCCACGGAGATCTCCATGCTGGGCATGGAGTCTGCTTGAGATTCTCTCTCCCCATCTCCCTCTTCTTTTGCCCCTCTGCTCCCTAAAAAAATAAAATAAATAAAATAAAATACTCACTTTGGAACACTGGGAGAATTCATCATACCATATGTAAAGATGGCCTTTTCTCTAAACACATGGCAGCTAGAGGTAGTAATATGTAAAGATGAGATTAAAAATGGAATAGCCATACCAAAATGAATACACTCATGCAAATATATGGACCCTTATGAAGAACATAAGCACCAAAGCCAAGCACAAAATTAAATCTATACTTGGATATGACAACTTAAAACTGTTAAGCGTCAAAGATGAGGAAAAACTTTATACTATCAAAAAGAAAATGCAAAATAATTAAAAAGCAATGTTAATTAGATTTTTAAATGATTTTGTTTAGAGAGCTAGCATGGAGCGGGAGGGAGGGGGGACCAGATGGAGAGGGAGAGAGAGTCTTAAGCAGACTTTGTGTTGAGTGTGGAGCCTGATGAGGGCTCAGTCTCACCACCCAGAGATCATGACCTGAGCCAAAACCAAGAGTCAGTTGTTTAACCGACTTGCCACCCAGGCACCCCAATAACTAGTAAATTAGATTCCTGGTTAAAAAAAAATAGATGGCAGAAGTTGATAAAAATCATCTACTCAAAATGCTGATGAAAAATAATTTGCTATTATCAACCTTCTCTAGAGTTAGTTAAAAATAGTAAGCTATCAGGAATCAAGGAAGACTCATTATTAACCAATGTATAAAAATAAGCTTTTTACTTTTAGCTACTGATGTTTTGACAAATATTGTATTAATCTTTGTTTTCAGGATCTCTGTGGAATATAATAGATAAGAAAAAATTGTGTAATTATGTTCCATTTCATATGTTAAAACTTGAAGAGTAAACACTAAATTAACAGCATAAAAATCTGTGTTTTCCAAAGCAAGGGACAATTTTCGGAAAATTAAATGATAAAACTTATTTTATCAATAGAACAGAAGACCAGAAAGGAGAATAAAAGATGTAAAGTAAAAGCATAGAAAATGAAAGAAGAAAGTAGAAATTCATTCAAACATACTGTGGCCATTATCAGATTGAATTATCATTTTTAATCAAAGCTATATCATATTTAGATATATGTAAATATATATATATGTAGATATGCTGCTTAGATGAAATACACCAAATTCAAAATGATATAGAAAGTTTCATATTAAAAGTTAGAAATATTTAGCCTATGGCTTCAAAAGAAACAACTATTGCTGGAAAAAAAAAACAAATCCCAAACCTGGTGTCTTAAAATAAGATCTTTATTTAGGTCACATTTCTAAGAATGAGTGATTTCTGATAGGTTTGTCTAAGCAATTCTTCTGGTCTCAGGATGACTTCAGGCACTACAAATAATCAGCATTGTACAGAATGTTCTCAATTCAAAAAGAAAAAAAGGGAGAACAATAATAAGGAGAAACAAAACACAAGATTATCCTTGTTAATATATGATGAAATTGTCTATATGAAAATTTAAGATAATCTACAAAAACACCTTCAGGAATAATGAGGTACTTCGCCAATTTTTTGGAATACTAATTAAATGCCTCAAAATGGATAGATTTCCTATATTTAAAAAAATATGAATAAGTAGTAAATCAGGTACAATTTAAAATGGCAAAAATCAAATAAATTAGCCCAAAACCTTTCTAAAATCATTAGAGGAAAAAAATCCAATGTATAATGTTCAAGTTGACCCTATGTAAAGAGCAATCTACTGAAAATATAAAACCATGCAAGAAAAATAATATATTTACCAAATTAGTGAATCAGAGCAATCAGATTTTCATATTAATCTATAAACTAAATATAATTTTAATTATAAACTGAATTTAGTAATCTGTTAATAAAATGCAAATAGCAAAGCATTAAGAAAAGCAAGAATGTATTAAAAAGAAGATGAAGGAGATATATGGTTAGCAGAAAGAGAAGAAAAGAGGGCATATGCTAACAGATATCAAGACATTATAAAGATGAATGTAGTGAGTGTAAACCCAGACAGTTGGATTTTTTTCTTTTTTTTTCTTGTAATACAAGTGCATGACTTATGCTTCCATTGCCAAGGTATCTGCTTCAAAGAGGCACCTACTTCAAAGGGGAATTCACTTCGAAGAGGGCTAGCTGGAATAAACACATTTCCAGCCACAAGACTAGATAAAGATCCAGGCCTCTTCCCCCTGTCCCCTGAGACTCTTTGTTTTAAGAGATCTTAATTGATTTTGATAACTGATCATTTGGGCCTTCTCTGTCTCTCTCTCTCTCCTTGTTTTTTAAATTCCCATTCATGTGTTTTAAATTCATCGATAGAGTGAGCCCCCAAAACCATAGGACCCAACCTTGACCCCAATAACAGCAGAACTTCAAGCCCCGCCCCCATATTCTCTTTCTCTCTACCTTCACAACTTTGTGTGGACCCAGATGTGCCATGTAATTTTCCAGGACGTGTAAGTAAAAACCCTTTTTTCCAAAGTTTCCTGATGGTTATTGCTGAAGAGTGTCTTGCAATCATAATAAGAATCACAAGCACTGGTCCAACCACAACATTGGTTATTAATAGGCTGAAACCAGCATAAAACAATGAAGTACTCCTTAAATATGGTAGGAGTACAGAAGTAAATAAGGAGAAGAGGAGAACAAATTGAGGGGACTGAAATAAAATGATTAGATAACTAAATCTATGTATAAACATATGAACTTGATAGAAAACAAAGGTAGCATTTTTAACCATTGTGGAAAGGGTAATCCAAAAAGTACATAGAAATGGATCCACTGTTTATATATCTAGAGAAACTAAAATTAGAATCTCTCAAATACATGCAAAAAAATAAATTATATTAA